ACTAGAATGAGATGGTTACATCGATGGATCAATGACATCATTGATATTTTATTGATGACACTGTATTTGTTCAGCACACTACAGTAGTCCCCAAACATTTTATTTCGCCACAGACCGGTTTTACAAAAAAAACACAATTATTTCGAGGGACTGACAAAGAAACAAATAAAAATAATTGAAGAAACATACAACTCACCATTCCACTGAATGTTGTGATTTGTTTGACCCCCGCACGTGTCTTTCTCATCAACGAGCCGACGAGTCTCAGCTTGTGTTCCGTCGCCAGCCTAAAAACAAAACAAAATTAAAAAAAAAAAACATTTATCAGTTTTCTCAGTGTTTCTATTTCACTTGTGCTTTGATTGTGTTTCAGGATGGACTTGCATATTCTGCAAGTGATTGTGGTGCCGCTATCATTTTTCGTCAAATATTTACGCACACTTGTAACATGAATTTTATGTCGAGCCGCTGCCCTTGTTACTTGCCGCCAGTCTTGTTGTCCTCCTGGTATGACAGTTTTAAGACTAGCAGCGATTACAGTCGCTGAAGTCAGTGAAGTGTGGCTCACCCGCTGTTCTCATCCACGACCAGCAAATTTTGGGATCGAATATACTTGGAAGACGAGACGCCCAAAACGTGTCCTTTTAACACAAACTGACGTGACACACAGCTGTAAGCTTTTGTTAAATTGTGAATTATTCTCATTTTATGTTTGAACATTACAGTATTATCTTTAATGTTAAAGTTATCGAAATTACATTCTCTTTAATAATTTCTTCAACATGTTTATGTTGAGAGCGTCTGATTGGCTGAAGAAAACAGGAAGTGTTTCAGTCGACTTTGGGTCGTGAAGTGGGCTCAACCGCAGTTCAAATGACAGAGTGTGACTGCGCGCCATATACAGTACTCATTATAAAAGTCCTGCTGTACGATCAATGGCAATACGCTTCCCCGGCCGGAAAGTGGATTTTCCTGCAAATAAAGTAGCTCACGCACAGTTCACGCTGCGTTCAAGCATTCGAGGTGGAACGTACAGAAAAGGGGATGCAGCTACTATCGAATGCTGTTTGAATACGTCATATGAATTATGCACACGAACTTGCTACTGATGGTGAATATGATCTTGTGCGCTTTAACTGATTGCATTTTACAGTATTTTAAATGAAGATGACCTTTCATTGCACACCCTAAGTTGTCCAAAAATTTTTGGAGCCAGCAGGAAGAATGATGATGTGCAATGATGCATTTTTGAATCCCCCCACACAGCCTCCCCTTTTCATACATGGCAATTTTCCGCGGATCCGCGGAAATCCGCCGTTTTATTTCTTAAATTGATCATTTTTGTGAATCGTCTAAATCCGTTGAGAAAATTTTAGGGCTGGTCAGGTACCTTCTCGTCGAGTTTTCACGAGCTCTCCCGAACAGTCTCTCCGTTTTCCGTTTGTAAACAGCCCTGCGATTGGACGTGTATGAAAGCTTCAACTAATCAGATCACTGAAGGCATTATTTGTTGCGGAAGTCTTAGCTCGATTATAAACGGCCCAGCGATTGGTTAACTACAAGCGATTGGACCAATCAAATTGCATGTTACATATTGTTTTACCTGATTCATGGCGGCCTGTTCGTCTCGCAAATTCATTGTTCTGGGATCGTTTTGAGCGGAATTATGACATTTTTGACGAAAGATCAGGAGTCTTTAATCCTAGAAATTGACTCAAATGTCAAGAATAAATTCCGATTGGACTGGCTTGACAGAAAAGTCACTGTAAAGGTTAAAACTGGTTCCAAGTTCGACGAAGTTACAGAAGCTCTTGGACAATTTTTGAAGAAACCAGACGTAGCAGGCAAGGCTTATTGTGTGTATTGTAGTGACTTAATTAACTATGGCTCCCGTGGATGCGTGGCACTGACAGATCATGCAACAAAAGTGAAAAAACATGCCGACAAAATCGCCATTCGAGGGAGCAATTATTCTTGGGGATCGGCATTTTTCAAACAACCTTCGTCAGCGGATACAACTAAAGACGTTACGCGCTGGGGTACTTTGGCTGAACCAAGCAACGAAATCTGCTCCACTGACGCCCCTCGCCGATAGACAGGTACACTCCGAGGTACATACTTTTTTATTCAAATATACGAGGATGATAGTTTCAATTTTATTTGGTATGCATTTGTAGCAACAGCATGATAACATTTATTTGTTTTTATTTGCGTTTTATATTCATATTGATAATTCACGTTTTGTCTTGGATAATAAAGCACGGTTAGGCATAATAAATTGTATGCATAATAAATATTCACTATCACTGTATGAGGTAAGAATCAACAGCTTTTTATCACATTTACACAACACTTTATGAATACAAGTCATGAACAAATCTTAAATATGGCAGGGAATGTGTTTACTTTTTTAGTTTTGATTTTGAGCAACAAATTTGGAGTTACATCTTGGTGCTCACCAGGAATGCATAGGCAAAATTGCACAAATTTTCACTTGAAAGAATAGTGGCGATCTTGGGATTTTTTTCTGTTCAATTTTCAAACTGCGTAAATTTAATACACTTCATCTTCAGCATGTTTAGTGCCACTTTTGTAAGTAACCACGCCCCCGTCCAGGCCACGCCCCTTCCGCTTTTTTCATCACTCGCCATTGCCATGTATGCCTTTTAGAAAATTAGAAATCTTCACTGTCAGTCTACTGAGAGGGGGGAAAAAACACTCAGTAAGCCTGTGGAGGATTTGGCTTTTAAAAAGTGTCAATTTCCCCAATGAAAGACAAAACAAGACAGCTCTGTTTGGGGGGAAAAAAAACTAAATAAATACAAATTAAATGTGTTCTGCTTCCCAGAGAATTCCCAAGCGTGGAGGACAAGTTAAACTGGCAAGGAAAGGTCATGTTGTCAAAGTAGCTTTAAATTCAAGTTTGTTATGGATGCCAGAACCAGCCCAAGCTGGAGCAGTCCCAAGATAAGGCAACACATCAGATATTGTTAGCGTGTGTGCGTACAGAAATCCTGTTATTAATTTTCAAACGCACACGCACACACACACACACACACACACACACACACACACACACACACACACACACACACACACACACACACACACACACACACACCACCCATCATCCCACCACCCCCTTCCTGTCCATGGCTCAGTAAATGAAAAAGCTGGAACATCCACAAAGTGCCATGCACGGACATCCAGAGAGCAATCGAAAACAATAAAACATCCGGCTCAGAGTCATCCATCATCTTTTTGACGTTATGTACGTCCGACATTGCAACGGCACTCTGGATGCCTGCACTGAGTCATCGTCCTGTCACTGCCGTAATATTGCGAGAGAATGGTGTTCGCGGTCACCAAGAAAGTGAACAGGCGAAGAAAGTTCCACCACATCAGCACTTGCACATCGTCAGCACTCCTATTTAAAAAAAAATCAGTTGGGAGAATTACTGCAGCTGACTGCCCCCGCCCTTCCCCCAAGAAAAAGAAAATAAAAAAAGAAAAGAAATCATCACCATCCAGAGATACAATAAAGTTGATATAGGAGGCAGGCAAAGTCAGACCGCAGACGGCCGCAGTAATTGCATTTGGCAATATGCAATGCTAATAACTGCAAAAATGTGAGATGGCCAATTTCATTGTTGCAACGGAGTGTGAAGGCGATTGGCATTCCAGAGCGGAGGCTGAACTGGAATCCTTCATCGTCATTCATCACGCGGCTCCCTCCGCGCTGATGGAATATGCTAACCGAACATGTGGACACACAAGAATGATAATCAATAATCCGGCACCCAGAAGGAATTCTTGGAATTTTCCCTCTTCGCCTTACTTCCCTCAAAAGTGTTTCCTCCTCGTCTAGGAGTTATTTATGTGACCGAAAAGGGTTGTGAAATAAAAACTGAGCTGTATTTTAATGAGAAAAAGGTTGAAGCGTTGGTCTTATGAGACTGGGGTAGGAATTTTATAGAAAAGAAGTTGTAGCTTACTAAAACAGTAATGTCATTTTATTAGGAAAAGAAAATGATATAACGATAAGGTTTAACTATTACGACACCAAATTAGTCATCTTACAAGAAAAAAAATGGTGTAATAGAAGACACGATGACAATAAAAGGTCTCATAAAATAACAAAGGAGTCATATAAGAATAGACTTGTGATTTTAAGATTAAAAAACAAGAATAAAGATTTTGCAAAAATCAAAGGGGGCAGACACTGACAATCAAGTTTAACAATATTTATGAGATGGAACAATAAAGTTATCATTTCAAAAAGTCATTCTCCTTCTGTCATCTTCCTCTCAAAGGTGCTTTCCCGAAACCAGGTACAATAAGCAATTGTTTGCAGTGTAAGGTAACAAAGCTGGTCACCATGGATACAGCAGCATCCAGTGAATGATGAGTGGGCCTCTTCGCTTTCTAAAAAGGAGCAATTATCTCATGACATCAAACACGGTCGACAGCATTAAAAAGCAAATAGTTGCAGGAAAGAGGACTGGACCATTTGTGTGTGACAGCTGGGGAAGGTTCCTTTATGACACAGTATTTGGTTTTTTAATATTCTACAAATAAAGGTGGACTAACAAGTTTTATAATATATCAAGTATTGTGAGCATGAAGTTGTGATTTTATGTAAAAAAGAGGTATATTATTAATAAAATAAAATTGTATTTTATGAGGGGGGAAAAAGGTCTAATATGTGACCACTGGTTTAGATACATGCTCCTCAAAGGTCTATGAAATAACGTTGCGGTGTGCCTCAAGGTTCAATTTTAGGTCATTTATTGTTTAATATGCTCCCTCTTTGTGGTGTCATTTGGAGGCACAGAGTGAATTTCCACAGTGACAATGACAACAGACATTTGTACGTCTCTATGACGCATACCAAAACTTTCACGAAAAATATATTTTTTAAATAACTTTTGACTCGTGTAAAGCACTTTCAGTTGTTTTTTTTTTGCATGAAAAGTGCTATATAAATACTTTGATTGATTTAATGAGTAAAAATGTCCCATTTATTTTGAATAAAGTTATCATTTGATTGGGGGAACATGGTATACTATGAGCAAGTTCTCTTGCTATGAGACAAAGTTTTAATATGAGAATTGGAATTTTAAGACAGAAAATGGGAAGGAAAAACATCAAAAAGGGTCAGAGTGTGCGAGCCAGGGGGATTAAAAAAAATGACTTTAGTGCTAACAGGAGAATATGGCCCCGGGACTTTTTGGTTCAAAGTAGCTGATCTTTGACTTTATCAGAATGGCCCTCATGCTCCTCCAAAGTAATTGGCCTTATTCAGACGGGACAAGCAGCTTGAGGCAACGACAGCTCACCTGAAGGGGCCTAAGGCGATGGAGATGAGGAGACGCTTCTGCTGCTCATAGGCAGATGATGACCGCATGCGTCAGGTCCTTAAAAGCAGATAAACACACACACGCACACACACACACACACACACACACACACACACACACACACACACACACACACGCGCACACACACGCACACACTCAGAGCCTGCATCATAACAACTTTCAAGTGACACATAAGGGCTCGCACACATGGATCGTCTTGACATTTTCACGCAGGCGGCCGCGATGCTGATTGCCATGCTGCTCTCCAAAGAGCGAGGCTGCCATTTTCACTCCACGACGGCTTAAAAAAAAAAAAAATGTAAAAAAAGAAACTCTGAAATTATTCATCGTCCACCGGGATGTAATTTCAATTTAGCCAATAGATGTTGATCCTTGGCAAAGTTCAACAAGGGAAATGACTCACTGTTTGGCTCCTTGAAGACTTCACTCCTCAATCACAGTGTTTTGACATTACAATATGCTTCGCCTCTACTGATGAGCGCATCCATGACACTTTTGAGGTACTAGAAAGAAAAGGAGAAGCATACAAAAAGACCTTTTCACCATCACGTCACACGTCATTCGGGGCGCAAAAGCCGAAGCATTCTCATCGGTTTAGAACCATAGCGGATGTCACTGCCAGTGAGATGTTTATGCCACTTTTCAGAGATGCTATACTTCAAGACTATCTTTATCCTGTTTGAAATAAATCCGATGAAAGTAACCAGAATGTGCTGAGATCCATCACTCCCAAAAATGGGATGTTTTACTTCCAGTATATCAGCATTTGAGGCGAGAGGCAGGCTACACCCTGGACTGCTGCCCGTAAGTTACCAGCCCTGGGCTAATGCCTCATCACGGTACATCGGATCAGCAAAGCAAGTGGCGTGAATTTTTGAGAAATGTGCGTGAAAAAGAAATAAAGAGCAGGTGAGCATGACAGTCGCTGATTGGATCATCAGCGGTTCAGATAATGGATGGATGGATAAGTTCCTACGTCCACCATTGCCGCGGCCATTAACGGCTGCGGGGGGCACTTGCGAGGCAAGAGAGCACCAGACCTTGGCTAATATGAAAATTCATTCGAAAACGTTGTTTACTTTGAAGTGAGCACAGTGTCAATATGCATCCATGTTGGCAAATTTAAGTGCATAAAGTAATTTGTAGTTGCATCCTTATGAGTGTCAGAAAATTTCCCGGTAATTAAAGCAAAAATGTCCACGAAAGGATGTGCGTGGTGGGGTTTTTGCTACCTGACTAATCAATGCAACGATCAATAAGAAAATCAATTCTAAAGATAATTGTGAGTGACAGCCTTCCTCTTTAGAAGGACAGCTTACTCTCAGAAGATATAAGGCGGTCTCACTGGGCCAGGCCTCAATAAATAACGTAAAAAAATAATGTCAAATCAGTAAGTATTAATATGGCCTGTCAGAGGATGTGAAGCGGATTTCGTCTGCTTTCTAGATCAGGGAAAAATAACACATTTCGGAGCTATTTTTTATTTTTTTCATTTGGCCTGCAAATTGATTCAGAATTGATGATCATCTCCCAATTTTCCCGCTCAACATTGACTCTTTATTATACATACTGTATATTATATAAGAACTAATCTCTTCTATCCTTATTCTATTCTTTAATGAACACCTTTTACACTCTAGCATATTGTTGAGACAATATAAGTTACATCAGTGCTTTTTTTTTTCTTCCAAAACTTCTTTAACTTAACAATCAGGACACTAGTTTGGTAGACTGCTGCCCATCCACTTGTTGTGAAAATACATACACGGTCGTTCAGGTGCAAGGCAGTCTCCAATTCTCCACATCAACATCCACAGCCAACTCCATCATCCGCAAGGAGAGATTTTGTGGTTTACATGATAATGTCATGCACGTACACCAGCGTGTCTATTTCTCTTTCCGCAATGTCAAAAACTCTGTGCGCTTGGACTGCCCTGATTTTAATGCAAATGAGGGATGCCGTTAGGATTGGCCGAGAGAGACGACTTCCATCGCGCAACGGCGCAAACACCCTGTTACTCCCAATTCCTAGACTGGTCATCGATCAATAGGACACATTCAGACATATTGAAAGCATTTCAGTATGTGTTGTCACATCAGTGCAGGAGCAGATTTTCGTGTGTTTATTCAGGCTGTTTGACAAGCGAGCAAAGCAGTGGCTTGTTTACGCTATTGTGCCGTGTCTCCTCCTATAATTCATATGAGGCGGCGAAACAGAGGGGGATGGCAAACAACGCCCAAAATTAAACGAGGCACCTGCGGAACGCGCCGATGGTCACAGCGTGTGCACGGAAGCGAAGCGTTCTCAATTCCCTCCATAACACCAGTCACTCACATCAATGTCATGAGTAGGCCTATACGATCACATTTGCCTGTGGTGGCTTTCACGCACACGCCAATTATCTGCAGTCTGGACACGGAGTTGTGAACACGTCTGCTGGTGTGGGAGGCTCAGCGTCCCGGGGTGTCTCCAATCAGAGTGAGATTGTCCAATTGAACATACTCCCTACTGAGCACTGAACCATGCCGACCATTTTATTGTGTTGAATTTGTTTGGGAATTTTGAATTGATTAAAATTAGGATCATTGACATAATTTATTTATTTTGAAAAAAAAAATTCTCCTTTTATCTATTTTATATATATATATATATATATATATATATATATATATATATAGAGAGAGAGAGAGAGAGAGAGAGAGAGAGAGAGAGAGAGA